AGTACATCAAAGTAGAACAGAATCCTAATCCCACCAACTATTTGAATTCTGAACACTTGATTGATGAGAATAACTTCAATTACATATATGCTTTGGTACTGGACGTTTAATTCATCCCTCTCATTTTTCTAAATTGTGATTCCATTCCACGTCTAATTCAAATCTCAATATAAAATTAATTATTTAAATTCAGTGCTCCTGAGAAGGGTAACGCTTTTCTTTCAGGCCGAACGACATCTTCTCATTGGCAGTTTACCCTAATGAATTTATTACCCCAAAAAGTTTGAAAACGACAATTACCAACCTAATGAAATTTATTGCCTGTTGACGCTTGATTTTGGACGCCAACGACTCGCACGTGAGAAGCGCTAAGCAAACTTAGGAATCACACGTGATGGATTCATAAGATTTGGATATGGAGCTGAGATTATATATGTTACCGAAAACATAAATAAAAGATTGGCAAGAGGGGTTTTTATAGTGGCTCGGATGCTCAACAAGCGACTCCTACATCCACTGTTATTTTATTGATTTCTGACTATTTTTATGATATTGCCCAGAAGGCATACAAAGATGAAGAAATACAGTGTTTACAGAGAGAGAATGAAATGAAGCTCAAATCTCAGCCCAGCCTCTTTCTTCGGAAAGAGGAGTGCCCATTTATACACCTTTGCACTCAATGTAATGAGTGTTTTGCAAGTTGCCTTGACATATGGAAGGCTCTCATCCATTCATTTCTTGAAAGGAGATAGGGTTGGTAAGAATATCTTTGAGAAGATATGGGTTTGACAGCTGGTATAGAAAGACATTAAATGAGCTGACATAAGCATGACTTTTGAGGCATAACAGAAGCCCCCCAGTTTTTGGAGTGCATAATCGTGCTTCAGAAACTAAGGTCTTTGATCTGAATGGCTGCAGTCTCGAACTGAAGAGCTCAAACTGAAATCTGTTAGGAGCATGACCTGAAATCTATTAGGAGCACGACCTAAAATTTGTTAGGAGCTCGACCTGAGCGCAAAACGAGCTCAATCTGAGCAAAACGAGCTCAACTTGAGAGCAAAACGAGCTCAATACGAGCAAAACGAGCTCAACTTGAGAGTAAAATGAACTTAATATGAGATCATAACGAACTCAATCTAAGTAAAATGAGTTCAACTTGAGAGCAAAACGAGCTCAATTTGAGCAAAACAAACTCAATCTGAGATCATAACGAACTCAATCTGAGTAAAACGAGCTCAACTTGAGGTCAAAACGACATCGACCTGAGAAGTCAAAACGATCTCGACCTGAGAGGTCAAAACGACCTCAATGAGCAAAACAACCTCAATCTAAGAGGTCAAAACGACCTCGACTTGAGAGATCATAACGAGCTCTACCTAAGAGCACAAGAGATTAGCGATCTCAGCGTGTGATCAACGATCTGAACACGCGATTTCAAGCTAAAGATCAGCGATCTGAAGCCGAGGATCAGGACGACCTGGACGTGCGATCTGCGATCTGGCCACGTGATCGGAGAACTCTAACGCATGTGATCTGCGATCTGGCCACACGATTGACGAATTCTAACATGTGCGATCTGCGATTTGGCCACGCGATTGGAGAATTCTGACGGGTGCGATCTACGATCTGGCCACGCGATTAGAGAATTCTGAACCAGGTTTGAGATCTGAGCACGCCATCAGGGAACTTGGACGTAGGCTTAAGAATCGGACCTGCATGGGCCACCAACCTGTTGACGCTATTTTGGACACCAATGACTCGCATGTGAAATGCGCTGAGCAGACTTAGGAATCAAACGTGATGGATCCATGAGAATTGAATATGGAGCTGAGATTATATATGTTGCAGAAAACATAAATAAAAGATTGGCAAAAGAGGTTTTTATAGTGGTTCGGATGCTCAACAAGCGATTCCTACATCCACTGTTATTTTATTGATCTTTGACTATTTTTATGATATTGCCCAGAAGGCAGAAGCCATGCAAAGATAAAGAAATACAGTGTTTAAGAGAGAGAATGAAATGAAGCTCAAATCTCAGCGCAGCCTCTTTCTTCGGGAAGAGGAGTGCCCATTTATACACCTTTGTACTCAATGTAATGAGTGTTTTGCAAGTTGCCTTAACACATGGAAATCTCTCATCCAGTCATTTCTTGGAAGGAGATAGGGTTGGTAAGAATATCTTTGAAGAGATATGAGCTAAGCAGCTGGTACAGAAATACATTAAATGAGTTGACATAAGCGTGACTTTTGAGGTATAATATTACCCACCTAATGAAATTTATTACCCAAAAAGCTTGAAAATTATAATTGCCCACCAACTGTCAAGATCTATTTGACAATTTCCTACCCATTATTAAAATCTGGTAGTAAAATCTGTTTAAAGAAAGATAAGATGGTAATTTTTCATGCAGTNTTGCACTCAATGTAATGAGTGTTTTGCAAGTTGCCTTGACATATGGAAGGCTCTCATCCATTCATTTCTTGAAAGGAGATAGGGTTGGTAAGAATATCTTTGAGAAGATATGGGTTTGACAGCTGGTATAGAAAGACATTAAATGAGCTGACATAAGCATGACTTTTGAGGCATAACAGAAGCCCCCCAGTTTTTGGAGTGCATAATCGTGCTTCAGAAACTAAGGTCTTTGATCTGAATGGCTGCAGTCTCGAACTGAAGAGCTCAAACTGAAATCTGTTAGGAGCATGACCTGAAATCTATTAGGAGCACGACCTAAAATTTGTTAGGAGCTCGACCTGAGCGCAAAACGAGCTCAATCTGAGCAAAACGAGCTCAACTTGAGAGCAAAACGAGCTCAATACGAGCAAAACGAGCTCAACTTGAGAGTAAAATGAACTTAATATGAGATCATAACGAACTCAATCTAAGTAAAATGAGTTCAACTTGAGAGCAAAACGAGCTCAATTTGAGCAAAACAAACTCAATCTGAGATCATAACGAACTCAATCTGAGTAAAACGAGCTCAACTTGAGGTCAAAACGACATCGACCTGAGAAGTCAAAACGATCTCGACCTGAGAGGTCAAAACGACCTCAATGAGCAAAACAACCTCAATCTAAGAGGTCAAAACGACCTCGACTTGAGAGATCATAACGAGCTCTACCTAAGAGCACAAGAGATTAGCGATCTCAGCGTGTGATCAACGATCTGAACACGCGATTTCAAGCTAAAGATCAGCGATCTGAAGCCGAGGATCAGGACGACCTGGACGTGCGATCTGCGATCTGGCCACGTGATCGGAGAACTCTAACGCATGTGATCTGCGATCTGGCCACACGATTGACGAATTCTAACATGTGCGATCTGCGATTTGGCCACGCGATTGGAGAATTCTGACGGGTGCGATCTACGATCTGGCCACGCGATTAGAGAATTCTGAACCAGGTTTGAGATCTGAGCACGCCATCAGGGAACTTGGACGTAGGCTTAAGAATCGGACCTGCATGGGCCACCAACCTGTTGACGCTATTTTGGACACCAATGACTCGCATGTGAAATGCGCTGAGCAGACTTAGGAATCAAACGTGATGGATCCATGAGAATTGAATATGGAGCTGAGATTATATATGTTGCAGAAAACATAAATAAAAGATTGGCAAAAGAGGTTTTTATAGTGGTTCGGATGCTCAACAAGCGATTCCTACATCCACTGTTATTTTATTGATCTTTGACTATTTTTATGATATTGCCCAGAAGGCAGAAGCCATGCAAAGATAAAGAAATACAGTGTTTAAGAGAGAGAATGAAATGAAGCTCAAATCTCAGCGCAGCCTCTTTCTTCGGGAAGAGGAGTGCCCATTTATACACCTTTGTACTCAATGTAATGAGTGTTTTGCAAGTTGCCTTAACACATGGAAATCTCTCATCCAGTCATTTCTTGGAAGGAGATAGGGTTGGTAAGAATATCTTTGAAGAGATATGAGCTAAGCAGCTGGTACAGAAATACATTAAATGAGTTGACATAAGCGTGACTTTTGAGGTATAATATTACCCACCTAATGAAATTTATTACCCAAAAAGCTTGAAAATTATAATTGCCCACCAACTGTCAAGATCTATTTGACAATTTCCTACCCATTATTAAAATCTGGTAGTAAAATCTGTTTAAAGAAAGATAAGATGGTAATTTTTCATGCAGTGGAAAAATCTAACATTTTAAAATTCTTGTCTCGGGCCACATTTTGATTCTCTCTTTTTAATATTAATTTTATAAAGAATCTCTCTTCAATCTTAATTATTTTATGGGCAGCAAGGAAAATAGCCAGAAAAAAACTGAATCAATCAACAACCAATTCAATTCCACGGCACAATCAATCCCCAATTCAAAAAATAGCCTTTAATCAAACCCAATTTCACCTGTTTCGTGAAACCATAAAATGAGTGGCTGCGGCGAAAAGTGGGCTACCGTGATCGGGGATGTTGGGGGTTTGAGTGAAGGGATGGTGACAGGTGGGTTTTTCGTCACCAAAATCAGCTAGAATCTGACTTAAAACAGTCATGCAACGAGCAAAAAAAGTCAACAATGGCCAACGATTTGTGGAGAAAAAGGGGGGTTTTGTGATTGATATTGGGGGTGCACACCGACCGGGTGTGATTTGGCCGGATGGGGAGATGAAGATGGGAGTAATCCTTCTTGAGTTCAAATTAACTGACAAAATTAATGGTTAGTGGGTAAATTGTTATTTTCAAACTTTTCAGGAGTAAATTGTGATTAGGTAAAACTTCGGGTGGGAACATGTTGTTCGGACTTTCTTCTAGGCTTTTACCTAAAGGATGCTGGTGTTGTCAAAATCATGTCAAATGATGTGGTGTTAAGCATCATATACGTCATCACGTATACGTCATCTATGTTGTAGAATCAATTATGCTTACGTTGTAAATAACATTCTTGCTAACGTCCTCATGATGACGCGTACCTACTTTGTTATAATCATATATTTACATATAAACCCGTCCATTATGGGTTCTATAACTTCTACGTGGCTGTTAGTCAAGAGTCTGCGAGGGTATTTTTATCTTTTCATGGCTACAATTCCATGACCATTACCCCTATAAGTGCCAAGATTGAACAATTTTGGAGAAGCCTCGCACACGTTCCTTCCGTTTGTTCGGTTCTGTGTATCTCATTTTCTTTGACAAACAAACAACTTTAGGCTGGAGTGCTGTTACAGATATGGAGAATGAGAAGGCGGAATTGCGTGTTTGTAATGTTGAAGATGAGCTCCAAGAAGAGGAGAAGATCGAGAAGTTTTTTTCGCTGATTAGAAAATTTCACGAAGCGCGTAATCGTAGAAGAGAAGAGTTGAATGAGTTGGAAGAAACAAGAAAGAAGGATAAGATTAGGAGGATTGATAATGGGCATGAAGAACAATCAAGTTGGGTTCCGTCATTTGAATGGCAGGATTTCACTGAAGAGATCGAATTTAGAAGGCCACCTATAATTTTTCCCAGCCCTTGTAACAAGAAAGAAGAAAAGAAACGAGTTGACGATGACGGTTTAGACCTTAATCTCACCCTTTAATGTATTGCCTGTTCTTGATATTTATGAAATATTAGTGAATCAGAAGATTTTGTTCTTTTTTTTTGTTTGCTTCTGATGTTTTGATGATTTCACGAAAGTTATTTGTTTATCTGTGGCTGATTGATTGAGAGGTTTTGAAAATACAGAAGTAAAACGAATGCGTATGAAAGTGAACTTTGATTTTCATCTGTAATTTTGAGATAGGTGGACAAATTATTGACGTTTCTTGTGTATCAGTTGCTGAATTTCAACATTGGTTTGCGCTTCATTAAGGGCATTAATACCTGTTTGAGAAATCTTGAACGAATCACCATGGTACGTCTGATTTTCTATTATGAAAATATTATTATATTATATTATATTATTTTGAAATACTTTAAATTTGTTAATTAAACTAAATAATTAAAAAAAATCAAAAAATTAATAAAGACATCTTTATTTACCTATATTTGTCGGATTCCAATAATCACTGTTGGAAGGTTGTTAAAATTTTGTATAATAACGTACTATTAACTGGATCTAATCGATAGTGTGTCAATTTATCATTTACTAACTAGATCGGATCTACGATCAAAGATCTGACCATTGATAATCAGATCTACGGTCAAAGATTTGGTCGTTGATAATCAGATTTTTGATCGTAATTGGTCTTTAATAACTATCAAACACGATCAGATCTGATATTTTTTAGTCAGATCTATGATGAATCTAGTTATAAGAAGCCATCTTGGAGTATGATTGGTCGATCCAATTGGTCGTGCATCGTAACGCTAGATTTTGATCAAATTTCGGTGATGGCTAAATTTCGGTGATGGTGACTAGAATCTAGTAATTATGTGTAGTAAGAGTATTTTTGTTATTTTATAAAAATATTATATATTGAGATATTAAGTTAAATTGGGGAGAGTTTTTTGAAAATTGATGGTGTAAAATGCCCTTTTAATAAAAAAAAAAAAAAAAAAATGTGAGTGAAGTAGTTGGGGGAAGCGTGAGCAGATGCTTGAGCCGGCAGCAAAACTGATGTTTGTTGCCACAGTGCATAGAGGACCCAGTATTTAGATTTGTTTAAAGTGTTTCCAGTTTGAAAATTGTTCTGTCATAATTACATCTTCAGTCTGACGTGGAGGCCCTGGAAAACAGCTTTTTTCCATTGACTGAAACCACGAATTATGCGTGAAGGTGAAGCTATATCAGATTGACTTGGAAAGGAGTTTGGGAAATTGATATGAGTGGGAAGACCCAGATGCTGTGGTTGGCCTGAAAACATCACTACATAATCTGCATTGTGCAGTGCACGCCTGACCACGGATTTATTGGCACTGATAAGAGGCCAAAAATTTGCTGATTTACGGTACCATTATTTGAGGACACCATGATGTCCACAACTGTTGGTTAAAACACATAACCAACCACCACACCAACCGCAATGGACCTTGTAATATTTAATAATACAACGGTTGTGGACCTTATTATATATGGTATACCCCCTTTCTTTGTGGGTGAGAATTTAAAGAGGCTTCTAGATCAAACATCATAGAAAACGACTATATGAAAAAGCGTGACCACTTCCAATTTAAGAGAAGTAAATAAATATCCATCTATAGTAGTACAACCTCACGTACAGTGTATTTCTCCTCCATAACGAGAGCCTTCTTCGCTTCACTCCTCAGTTTTCATTCAAAACACTGTTATCTGTTGAGAGTCTCATACATTAAACAAATCAACAGAAGAGCTTTTTTTTTTTTTCATGCCAAAAACCTAAGACTTTGTATTTTTCTTCAAACAAAAGGGCCAGTAATAATTTTCTTTTTAAAACTATGAAAGTGTAAATATAATCAATTTTACAGGATTGTCAAATTCTTTCTTCTTAATAAAAAGAGTCAGAAATAATAAATATTTTGGGCCATGGAGAATGCTGTGATACCCAGTCTAACTGATTAAGCCCATCTGGGGTGGAGATAATGTTGTTTGGCCCAAGTATAGATTAAATAATAATAAAATGAAAACGTAAGACAGTTTTACATATATTTAATATTGTATTAAAAGGTGTAATGGTGAAAGGTGTTATAGTGAAAGATGTTAGTGTAGCTTGATTACAAAATAAAGTTTACAACTTTTGACGAATAAAAGAGATAGCTTTTGCTTTATTATGAAAAGCAATGTGGAATATTTAATTGTACGGTGTAATTTTAAATAAGATTTGAGTGTATTAATATTATCCTCCAATTCCACCAACTACATTGCATCCGATCTGACGTCAACTCAATTCTGGTCCTCCTTCCTTTAAACCAAATGTTACATTGGAGTTGTATAGCGACAATGGTAAAGTCATTTCAGCCTTTTCACTTTTATCCAATTAACTTGTACCATGAATACAAGTAGAAGATTATAAATATTTGTTGATGCCCACTCCACTAATAATTAATGCAGATTCTCCCACGTAAACGTGATTTTGTTGCAAAGGAAATCAACTTGGGAATGTCCGAGGATTTCGCATTAAAGAACTTAAATTTGTAGAGCTTCCGAAGATATGAAGAATTAGGTTATCAAAACACCTTTCATTTTCATCATTTATGTTTGATTCAATATGAGAAGAAGTGGGTTAATCATCCATACTTTCAATTATATACATGTTGCGAAGAAGTAGGTAGTTGCATGATAGTATTTCTGAGCCATAAATCAGTTTACACTTGACTAGACAAATTAATTGTATTAATCTCAGATACCTTTTTTTCATGACAAGACTGATCTCAGTTAAAGCAACTCATGCATATCCAATCCTACTTCACCACATGTTTTATAATCTACTATGGTCAACTTACACGTCCAATCTTCAACCATGAAATTCAGGTTAATGAATAATGATATTGATGCATGCGAAGTTGCTTTCTTTTTGGATTTGGTTAGGCTAACATTTTTGGAGTATATAGTTGATTCAATTTTCACACGAAGAAGACAAAGATCTTGAAATCATCAGACAGAGACCGGTTGAGCTCATAATAGTACTAGACATTATCCCATAGACAATGCTATGAATATGGCATCACTTTCCTTCACCCTTCAATTCCCACCTCCAATCCTACCCACTTTCTCCAGTTCAATCAATGTCTGGCCAGATGATTTCTGGCCTCTGCTTTTTTTTCCTATTTTCATCTCCAAAACTTGTTTTTCATATTGCAGCCCTTTTGTTTGTCATGATTGATTTCTTGAATTAATGGCCGACATTTTCTTTGTGTCTTAGATTCTTATGAACTCAATCAATGACAAAGACGCTATTAATATACAGTCTACTAGACAACTTGAATACAAAATCTTAGGGCATTACCAACTTCAACTGTAATTTGTTCGTATTCAATACATCCACGTGTGTGTATATACACCGTCAACAGCAGCCATATTATATTAATATTTGAAAATGGAAGTTCGGGTTACCGAACCGGAGTTTGCCAGGATGCATGCTGAGCTAAAGTTATTGTGAAGCATTGGGTTGGTATAGGAAACTCCCATTAAAGACAATCCAATGAACTCATTAATTCGTTTCATGTAATTCAAGAGGATTTTTGCCATACAAATTTTAATATTTATTAATTGTTCAAGACAAGGGAGTTTGTGTGTAAGAGAAGAAGGGCAGACATAAGAGAGGTAGATCGTGGACTAACCTTTGATATCTAGTCTTCTTTACAAATTAAGGCAACGAAGAGTTTACAGTATACACCATATATTGGTACAAGAAAAGTCACAAAATTCTATTATTGTTACATATCTGCTGAGCAGAAGTGAGATTTTACAATAATGAAAAGCACGCAACAGGCAGCAATGAAAATAAGGATACAACAAACCACCTCAAGATAGATCAAATTAGTTAAAATTCCCAACTAATTCGATGCTTAATTTTGAGGACTCTTTCCTAGTGTGGACAATTTCGGTTCTCCAGTCCTTGGACTCTGAAGTCCTCTTCCAGTGATGCGAGGACTTCTTTCTCCTCTTAGTTCACTCACCCGAGGACTGCATGAAACACGCGGGCTTTGAAGGTCATGTGCCGGTGTTGTAGAGGAACTTGTAATTTTAGGACTGCTTGTGTGCCTAAATTCACCACGGCTTCTAGTGATAACTTCATCTAAAATCTCTCCATCCCCAACAGAAGCAGCGCCTGCTCCCAGCTCTCTCTCCTGCACAGCGGAGACCATCCATCAAACAGTCAAACCAATATAATAAGACTATAGTATGATAATTCAAAATTTTGTCATCAAGTTACAAAGTTGAATGAATTTTAATTGCAATGGACAAGAAATCATACTGTTACGAGATTGAATGGTAGAGCTGGCGCCTCTTCATACTCTGCTGCATCTAAGTCTTGAAGGTGCGCCCCTTTAAAAAACTTGGGCAGTATATATTGTCTTACGGGAACCAACAGCATGATCATCACAGGGAACATGAGCCCAGCAATTGGAATCCACGTAAGCCCAAAACATGTAAGCAAATAAATGGTTTGAAAGATGGTAAATACTGCAATTGTCTTGAAAGGCACGGTTTCCACAAATGTAGCATGGTACTCCTCAAGGACTCTGCAAGATAAAATAGGTGTCTTAGACGTTAAAGAGAAAGAAGGAAGTTAAATGAAATAATTGAAAGGCAAGGGTTTGAAAATGTTTACTTGTATCTTCGGCTTGGTGCAGTGAAGAGCAATAAGATCCTTTCCCAGAATTGGTTACCTGGTAAACTTTCAATGGCCATGAAGGCGAAGTAGCCCCAAAGGACTGCAGTTGGTATCATTTTGAGGACAGGCATTGCTGCAACACATGCTCCCACTAATATGGCTTGAAGCAAGTTACTTAGACGCTGTTCTTTCACCTCAACAGGCAAAAGATCATCAATCTCCTTTTCAATATCGAATACAGTCTCGTCAACTGGGGCATCAATATTTCCCATACATGATGCTGCTTGAATGGTTGACTCTTTAAATTCCTTAAGTCCCTGTAGAAAAATTTCCAAGTTTTTTGAGTCATCAAAGCCAAGACACTCGCCTTCTAAAAGATTTTCCAATTTTACACGAAAGTGAAGCAGGAAAATTAAGTATCACGAGAGTCAAATCCAACACATGCAAGTAGCAATCATACTTGAGCTGCAGGCTGCTGGTAGATTAAAGGGGTTTGCATATGTTGATAGGCTTCTTGCATAGTCCCATACAACTGTCCCAGGCTGGCATTTTTTCTAATACTTTTGCGTGCTGTTGAAACAAGCCGGTTACGTAGCAACTGCACACGTTAATGAGCATAAATGATCTTGAGTAAACTTAATTGCACAATTAACCATAGGAAGTTTCCGGAACAAAGAAACTGTATCTCTGCTAGTTGGTTAAAGATTCTGAAATAATCATTAAAGAATTGCGTATGTACGGGGTTTCACTTGGGGAATTCAGGAAAGAATACCTGATGTTTAAGAGTCGCCAGACTCTTTGTGTGCATGGGAGATTGTGGGATGACTCCATTAGATGGAGGGATTCCGATAAGTCCACAGATTAAGGTCTGCAATAAAAGAAAATTCAATTTAGCATAGGGAGTGTAAAAGAAAAATCTATTGAGAGGAAAATTGCATGTAGAGAGAGAAAGAGCAAAATAGGAAGTTGCATACCAAAAGCCCCAAAAGCAGTAAGTCATAATGGTAAGATGATGGCTTTCTCAAATTGAATTCTTTCTGCTGAGCAAGCTGGGATGCTACACTGTGGTCAAAGTAATAGAGCACAGCAATCATGGTTGCTGGAATGAAAGCTCCAATTATGTAGAAAATGGGAACGTTTACCATGTCCTGTCATTTTGAATAATTTTCAAGCCATCAGTTTAATCCTAATTTTGTGAAAACAAATTAAATTTATAGGTAGAGTAGAGATGGATGAAACATGCCTTAATGACAGTCCAATTTGCATATGCACCAGGGGACCATGGATTTGGGCTATAGAGACGTCGGGGGATTCCTTTTGGAACACTTTCAGATGGTATATAGGAAACAGCTGTCCACACCAGAACCATAAGTGGCACACCATAGTCTGCTATCAAGCTTCTAATCCAACCTGTGAAAACAAAAGTACGTACCTCTTATCAGAAGGAAGATTAACTATTGACTAAGATCCCCATAAATTATAAAGTACATAGAGAACGCCTTTTCAACCAAGAATACTTGCCAGATCCATAGCGCCATGACCTTGCTTTTCTGCTTCTTAATGCAGTGTGCAAAAGGCCAAATGACAGAACCAAAGCAAACATCCCATTTGCGAACCTCCAAGAAGGTATAAACTCTATTAATTTTGGATTCTCTCGTTTTGGAATTCGAAATTCTTCCACAAGACCCTAAATAATTGGATTAAAACATGTTAGTATCTTGTAGGAAGCATGACAAAGGTAATCTCTAAAACAATATAATAATGTAAAAATGATCAATACTAAACATGGCAAGAAAAAAGAATGATATAAGAACTTACTTTAACAGCTTGCTGCATGAAGAGCATTGCAATAAGCAGACCAAACAATTCTCCCGCTATACGGGTGAATCTATTGATGATGGAGCAAGCTCCTAAGATAGCCAGTAAGAACAGCAGCAATGTGGTCCAAACACATACCCTAACAAATTAAATGATCAAACAAGTTCTGTCAAGTCCTGAAGGAGAATTTGAACCACTGATGAAGAAGACGGAGGCAAAAATATAACAGGATTATATATCTAAAGGAAATTTGAGGAAGTAGCTGACCATCCGGTCCACGCTAGAAACAAATCTCGACCCAAATCTGCTCTCTCTTTCGCAAAGTTGAACATAAATGTGTACATGATGACCGTCGGCTCTGCCACTCCAAGTATCAGCAAAGGTTGACCGCCAATGATGGAGTGTATAATCCCACAAAGTGCTGTAGAGGCTAAAGTTTGAACCGCTGTGAGCAATCCCTCTGCGTGTACAAAGTGGAGATTACGCGTACAGTAATAAAATTTGATACAACCTTTTTTCTCTTAATTTCTTGTTTAATTGCTAAGATTGAAGAGGCTGACAATGACCACAAAAAAGCGAAAATAGAAAAATAGAGAAAGGAAAATCTCTAGAATAATTAAAATAAGTTTTTTTACAATTTCTGTCCATGTCCATACCAGTATCTCTCTCCAGTTGTTCACCAAATGAAATGACAGGAATCGCAGAAGCAAAGAATATATATGTGGTAGGAGCCAGAATCCTGGAAAACAATATGTATGTGTCACCAAGATCATATTAAGATTAATCAATAAACAAAGTTTAAAAGTGAAAACATTATAGTTCCGCAGTTGATCAGAATACACAAGCTAACAAGAACAACTTGTTTGACCAACAAAAAAGGGTGAAGTATTACCTGAAGCCTGCTTTAAAGCCACCAGTCCAATCTTGCTTGTAACACTTAAGTCTTCCTCGAAGATCATTTTTGATCCCACGAAAAGGTACAAAGGTCTCTTCCATTGCTTTATAAAGTACGTGAGATTTCAATAGTTACACTTTCTAAGGACTGGACAACTCTATAGAAGGTTAATTACCGTCTGGAAAATGTCGGGGTTTTGCAGATAGGAATAAGAGTGCCGTTGAAAGCACTAGCTGGTAAAGAAAATAGCCTTCTAATTACATAATTTGGTTACTGAAAGTTTACATAGAACTTCATAAAAATACCACGCCTATGATATATAAGGATTTTATGTTCACCTAGAGAGAGAAGGATCACAAGAATATCGGTAGAGATCCGGATAAATTAAATGAACATGTGATGTGAACTTGACGTGCGTATGAATTCAAGATTCAATGCAAAGACCAAACTACATAATGGTCGAATATCTTGGGAAGTTTCAAAGAGAGAGAATGAGAATGAATATAGTACGGAGTTGTCAACACTAATTGCTAGAAGAAGAGCACCCCAAGGTTTTAGTGGAACGTAAGTTTAGGCAGGGAAGGATGGGAGTAAGGAGTGGAATATATAAGCTTCTTAAATCACTGAGACGTGTAGTGGTGCAGGAAGCAACGTTATGTGGGTCAGAATTAAGATGCAAATGGAATTAAAGAAGTGAACTTGCACTCTCAGTGGAGAAGCGCAGATCCTCTAAGTCCTTGTATTATTTTCACTCTTATTTCTATGGGGCCATGCCATCAACCGTGCATGTCATGGCTCATTGGTGCAGTTGGGCCTACTAAATGATGAGTACTGTACTTTGATTTCAGATAGAATCAGGACCGTCGCTTAATTTCAGATGGTCAATGGTCAGTAGTACAGCTCTATATTCCATGCACTTGCACAGATTCATATAATATTATAGGAAATATAGAGTTGACTTTCCATTAAGTGATTTTGTCATTTTTAACCACACATGGGCCACTTAACTTCGGTTATTAACCCTCATAATTTTATCTGGTACTGTAAACTATAAAGTGGGATGGGTTTTGTTAGAATTTGAGGTGGGTCTAACTCCTCATCCAATAAGGTCTTGTTGAATGGGAGGATTACTCTCTCTTATAACCCAATAGGTTTGAGCGTGCATAGTCGACGTGGGACTCTAACACTCTCCCTCACAGTCAAACCCATATATTGGGTCATACCTGTTATTGGAGGTAGTTGCTGGCTTTAACTCCTCACCCGCTGGTTAAGCGCTCAGCTCAACTAAATTTGGGCTTTAATACCATGTTAGAATTTGAGATGGACCTAACTCCTCACCCAATAAGGCCTTATTGAATGGGAGGATTACCTCCTCTTATAACCCAATAGGTTTGAGCATGCCTAGTCGATGTGGGACTCCAATAGGCTTCAATTCGTCCATATAAGATATAGGCATTGCTCCTGCCAGTATTTTTATAGAACTGGAATAATGAGCTTGCAGATATGAAACCACCCATATTGAACTTCAATGTTTCACGTGGGCCTTGCTTCAATGACAATAACTATTTGACCTTATTTTCAATCTTCCAGTTAGAGTATATGAAACCACTCAAAACTAAAATTAGGTTAATTTTGCTGTAAAATTTCCTATTTTTTGTTTTATTTATTGTCGTCCATGTGATTGGACAACTCATTTTTGGCTATCTTCCAAACTCTTTCATACCACTTAGTATTTATTAAATTATTATATAATTTAAAAAAATGTTATCAGAACACTTTTCACTCTTAAATTGTTTCATTAACAGCTTCTTTTTATATTTTTTTCTCCAGTGAGAAAAGATTGATGTATTAACCACTACACCTCTCTTTCCAGGAAGTTACGTATTGGTTTTTGCTTCTTCAGAAGATCATAAAAATATACGGGATTAATTAATGTTGTTCTACGACTTCTGTAGCAGTTGCCGCGGCTTTATTCAATAATGAAATTTCCGAACAAGAAAATGGACAAAAAGCAGTTACTGGGTGGCACTAGAACATACTGTGGAGCGGGCCATTTGATGAAATGAAAAAGAATAATCATATTTCGGGATCTAAATCAATTTGGAGAATGGCTTCACTTTCTTACCATCATTCTAAGTGATGTATTGACATTTGGATTTGATTTTCTTGAGAGAATATAACAGTTTTTGTTTTAATAAATATACTCCAACACTTTAATTATTACTCTTCCCACCATTCCATTAGAAAAGAAAAGAAAAAAGTTCACATTCAGAGGCCAGGTACGAGGCACGATTTAAGGTCATGATTCGTCGTGCTTAATTTATTATGCAAATATATTAGATATAAGATCGCTGATTGGTTTAAGTTAATTACAAATGATGAATAATAAGTAAATAAATATGAAATCCTGAAAAAAGAATTATAAAGAAAGGGTACGAATCCCATTAGCAAAAAGCGCACTTTCGGATTCAAAGGTATCTAATCTACACAACGCTTTCACTTTTGGTAGATAATATATACTGGAATTCAATTTATTATAGTTGTTATTAACATTGCACATCAAAACTTATACGTATATTAATCCATGTATTGAAGAAATTAGACATCCTTGAATTAATCTATCATATTATATATGACTTTCTGACTTTGATCTTAACCGGTGTGAACATAAAGTTGGGTTACAGGTTAATAATTCCAAAATCCAGACTGTTTAGGTTTCTAGTTTACAAGGTTTTCTTAACTGATGCTCTACCCTCAAACATTACTTAAATTATATAAAGAACGTCACAGGCATGCAAAGAGATAAATACCGAATAGTTGTTGTTTTTCTTTTTCAACTTTTTCTGACTAACGACACCAAATTGATTGTAAATGACAATGCTTTTTTTGTCGGTTGAATTATTAGCTTGGAATTTATATATTCACATCTTAGCTAGTGACTGACAAGAGACTTCCACGATGAACTATTTTCTTTCTTTTTCTTTTTCAATAAAATAATTCTCTGTTTGTCCTTTACAAATAATAATAACTAAAAGGAATATTCAACTCTTCACCAGTTTTTGCTTTATTTTGTGCTGGGTGGTAGTGGTCATTTTCAGGCAAATTCAGAAAAAAAAGATAATGAAATGAGGAGAACTTGGGAAAGTTCATACATGCACGCCAAAACTACAGGAATCTATCTTTTCCATATTGTATATGTTTATTTGGCTTTGGTATTAAAGATACTGTTGAAGTTGGATTCAAATGATTTTGTCTCGCACAGCACAAGACTTCATTTATTCATCCTCATTATTGAGGGGTTGTGAGGCGAAGACAAAAGCGCCTGTCAATAACGGTAGATGTGTCATTCTTATAAATCTCACCATTGACTAAGTGGTGGGGTTTTGTCTTAGATGGATCACTCCTTTGTTTACGTTCGTTCTTTTATTTTTCAAGGGGACCTACATCAATTAATTTCTTCTTCCAACAAGTCATATTAATCATAATTAGAGACTTAAGGTTCAAGAAATATAAACATGCAGTCATAAGGGAGATTATGATTACCAGTGTTTTGGCTAATAATATGGAGTACATCTAAATATATGAATATATATTTTTAGTATTTGAAGTTCAATTTGTTGTTGTCTCTTACCTCTACTTCACAAGAACTGAATACATAAGAACCTGATCATCATATAATAAAATTCTTTCTTCTCATATATATAGTGAATATAATGGTTGATAAATATATTTTCTTTCACCACAATATTTCTAGCCTGTATTGCTGCTCTTCAATATCAGGTCTCCCAGAAATTCTCAAGCTTTACTCGAGGCGTAGAATATTGACCAGATAAAATACTCGAAGCAACAATACGATCGGAAGCTTCAGTGTAGTGAACTCCATCCCAAATAATGGAACTCGATACATTTCCGCAAATGTTGTAACCAGGCTGGCCGCACGTTGCTTTTACATTGTAATTATTCGGAGGCCCGCCATATCCGCAACAAGCCATAAATGGATTCTCAAAACCTGTAAAATACTCAAAATGCACCCACCAATAAAGTTTTCAGATTCAGCTCATAAAAGAAAAATTTCTAATTCATCAAAATTCTGGTACTGATCTTTACCATATTTTTTGTACTTAGCAAACAGGTTGTACTTGATCTTGTATATGTCTACATAGAAGACAGTGGCATCCTTAAGAACTGATCTCATTTCTTTACAGATATTAAGTAGTCCTTTATTAAAGGCTTTGGCAACATGGTTATGAACGCCAAGGCATCCAATGCCATCAAGGTCACTGTTATTATGCGGATGTAATGCAAGTTCTTTGGGTGCACACCCCAATGGACCAGTGTTGTGTATCCAAAAGTTTCTGCCACCATTTAAATATATGTTCTGCTTAGTAATAGAAAAGTTTTAATCAGTACATGGGGAAATTTACATACAGATCAAGAATACCACATAGACTCACCTGGATAGCTAACTTGATTTCAGCAAGAAAAGAAGGGATTTTGTCAGCAACTGGCCCATAGGTTAAGTTTGATGCATATAAGGCGATCAAGAGATCATTCTGTCCAATGTCAATCATGTAAAGTGCATTACAGAACCCCTCTTCATTGATGAAGTTACCTGATTCACCTACATTATGTGAAAGTTTACATTGATTTATACGGATAAGATATCAGTCCATAATATGTATAAGTTCATCCGACCAAATTAAAGGAGTTACCAATTGAAAGGAGTTCAAGTGAGCGTTTTTTGAAGCGAATGAATTGGCGAACTTGAACATCTAGTGCAAACGGGACAAATTGTGGAAGAGTGGTCGCTCCACTTACTGCGAAGTTTACCCCACCACTGAAATTTGGAGCCAATGAGTCCAAATATGGGCTCAAGTAACTTAAGTTTAAGTGCTCACCTAACAGATAATACGTAATATATCAATACGGTTAGTTGCTAGGAGGGTAAAAATACTAGTCTCTTCTCTAAGTAAACAAATTGGCAAGACAATTATGTGGATAATATTCATAAAAAAGTCAACACCTTCTTAAACTTACAGAAAAAGTCAATCACAAGCCGCCTATCACCTAAACGGCCTGTGCCTCTCTGAAAAAATGTAATGCCATGAGGAAGGCCGATGGGAAGTCCGGTGCCAGCAAGTACTCCTCCTGTGTCAGAATTTGAGTCCCCAAAATTAATGAGAATGGGCGTAGCCTGGCTAGATTTTGAGATAGTAGACATACCAAATGTCCATGCCATAAATATCAAATATAGAGAAAATTTTCCGCCCTCCATTTTCTCTGCTTTCTGTAGTCACTAAACCAAACTGCTTCAAATAGTAATATGCACCAACACCAGTGCTGGCTTCCCATTTCAAGATTGCTTGAGATCTGCATCCGTAAATTTAGCTTTAGATAATTTTGACCTAAATAGATTACTGCATAAATTTGCTGGCAATGACTTTCTGTCTGCTTATCTAAATCCACTCAGAAGTCAAGCCTGGCTTCTTTTTCATTATCTTTAAGATGAATCTCAAAACTTGTCCAAGGCAACTCTATGGGGAGACATTTTTTTTCCAAATTGTACTTTCCATGCCAACTACTATTATGAAATCAAATTGACCGCATACATGTAACTTGAGGTCAAGTTTAATTAATATAGTCCACAGACCAAAAAGAATCTTCCAATATATAGAGGAAAATTGGAAAGACTAATTATATATCACGTGTTTCTAGATATTTGCTTATCAAGTAAACTTAATTACAAAAGAAATCAAACTTAATTTGAGGAGTAGAGTAAATGGTAGATAGTATTTTGGAGGCAAAATTTGAGTTTGCTGCTTCTGTGTAATGAACTCCATCCCAGCTTACGTATTGAGATCCTTGGTTATATACGTTGGCACCGGTTTGGCTGCAACTTATATTTGGATTGTAGTTGTACGGCATCCCACCATACCCACAGCAGGCCATTAAAGGATTCTCAAAACCTGTTAAACCAACTCACAAATCAATGTAAATATATAATCACATGTTGGGGTTTAATTAACATCATAATATGTAGCAGAAATATTGGGTCTCATACCATATTTGGTAAAATTGGCTATCAGATCAAGTTTAATAGCATATATATCAACATAAACAATGGTTGCATTCTTCATCTCTGATCTGAGTTTTTCACACAAGGCGCTCAATTGTATATTAAATGCATTTGCAGCATTATTTAAGGACTGAATGCATCCATACTCGTCTAAATGATCACTAGCCTTTTTGGCAGTTGTAGCAAGTTTTTGTGGCAAGCAGCCCAGTGGTCCAGTATTATGGACCCAGAAATTCTTCCCACCTTGTTGGTATATACTCTAGATTTGAAATGAAGAGAAATCAAAGGAAAACTAATGTCAGTTGGCTCTCATGTTTTGCAAGCAGAAACAAATAAAGCAGGGTGGTAAGTGAAGAGCCTCACCGAAATAGCAAATTTGATTTCGGCAATGAAAGATGGAATCTTCTCTAAGACTTGTTCGTATGAGAGATAGCCGAATGCACCAGCCAAATCATTCTGTCCAATGTCAAATATGTAAAGTGCTTTCTTGAAGTCCTCCTCACTTACCATATTTTTGTAACCTGAACCATATTTAAGATGTATTATGTAAGTGAATTGAGATCACATTGTAAATAAGTTTTCCGGGATGAAATTCAATGTAGAATATACTACAGATATCAGTCAATAATAAGATTACTCTCAAATATGCTTTGAAAACAAAAATCCTTCAATAATGTACCTTTCGATATAAGCTGAGGGGAGAGGGAACGGAACCTCGAAAACTGAAGCATTTGACCGCCTAGCTGGAGAGGTGTATATCTGGGTAAAGTTGCTGCACCACATATAGCAAAATTAACTCCATTACTAAAATTTGGCCCCAGAGATTCCAGATATGGGGTCAAATAATTAGTATTTAAACTTTCACCTGCCAAGAAAGCAAACAGTGAGAACCTTTGTTCATGTGTCCCCTCTACTTACAGAAGCCTACTAAAATATTTAGTTTATAAAATCAAGACACTATCACAATTCATATGTACAATCAACAAACTGATTTACCCATTTCAGTTAGTTGATCTTATATCAAACTTTTGATTCAATTGTTGCCCTTTTGGGCCATAAAAAATGGGTCTGAAGCGAGGCATAGCCCATTGTAAAATTATATCCAGAAGTCCAACATAACTCACACTGTTACGGCCACAACGAAAGGATGCAATGCAATGCATGTACGTGTACACACAATCTCAATATATCTCTAGTCTGTAACAAGTTCCGATTCAGCACAGAAGTGAAATATAGAATCACTTGATTTATTTATGGTAATATAAAGTATAAGCTAAAATGAAATGATTAAAGTAAATACAAAACAAAGGGCAATATATGTTAAGCTTACAAAGGAAATCAATGATCAACCGTCCATCACATAAACGGCCAGATGGTTGATTGAAATATGTACGTCCATGAGGAGGTCCAAAATTGAAGCCCAGTCCGAATGAGTAACCTCCGGTGTCAGAATTAGAGTCCCCGAAGACGAAGATCACTGGTTTTTTTATGCATTCAGAATGAACAGAAGAACGAAAAGAAATGAACAGACAGAGAACCACAAGAAGTTTGCGCAGGGAAGAAAAAAGAAAATCTCTTTTCCTCACAACCATGTTTGTCCTGTTTCTTAGATAATTAGAATCATGAAAGCTCTTTTATAGTCATGGAAACAAATAAGAGCAATTTAACTTTATTAATCGTACATGACAAGTAATCGTAAATCGTAATTATTCCTAAGCAAATAAGTGGGTTTTAGTTTCGAATATTTTCTGGGAAATTAGATGTCTTTATCAGATTTATTAGCTGGCGAGGGAAGCCATACATATTCAAATGCATGTGCTTGTGCTTGTTAAATGTGAAGGCGATGGAAGTGGATTTCTATTTACGGGCTATGAATTCTGAAATAAAAAGTTTTACCTGGTCTGCAAGTTGATGAGCAAAGACGTTCAACATCATAAATGAACCTAATTTTGTGGAAGCAGGATGGCAACAACCAATCTATTTTGTCCTAACTCCTGAGACGATGGACGTCCGTTTAATTAATTCAACAACTGATGAAATAACCAACTGTTAATTTTTGGATCGACATTTTGGTTTGGTTTGTGATCACGGACAGAAATAAAAGTTTGCGACAGATTAATTAGTCCGTGAACCACGATAGATACCTTTTTGTTTTTACGTGTTCAACATTTTGCTTTGGGAGTTTGCCAATGGACAACAAAAAACAAGCTAAATTTTATTGGGCTTAAGATAGGAATACATGTTCCGAAAGGTAAATATTTAATATGGCCCAAAATACAGAGACCAAAAGATTATTTTACCAAAAATAGAAATATGGGCAAAAAACTATGCGGTGAGCGTGGATCGAACACGCGACCTTCAGATCTTCAGTCTGACGCTCTCCCAACTGAGCTATCCCCGCTGAATGATTAAGATGAACGCTTTTTAACTTTAATAATATTATAACTTAAAAGATCAATTCACATACGACCCGTCGAGAATCAAGGCGTTCGAAGTGAAAATAGTGATTGAAAATTTTTCACTTCTCATTACTTTGTTTAACAAGCAACATTGCAGCAATGCATTCCTTCTCTCATCCCAAAAGAATATTTGAAATGTTAAGGCAGATGTAACATAGTCTGGAAAATGAGAGAAGAAAACCAAAAAAAATAAAATAAATGCGTGAATGATTTATTCATATATAAGTTAATTTCCACATAGAAAGACCTTGTGGTTCTCCATCATGTTGAGCACAGGAAACAGACCATCATAATTATTATTTAACATACATAATAAACCAACTCAATTTATTTCCTGTTGCACCTACTCCACATGTTATGAAATCATATTCAAAGCCAATACAAAGCTACTCAGCAGTACCATTTAATTCAGGAAACAACAACTGAATCGACCATCTGATAGAGACAATTTCTCTGCTTTTGCAACTGCCTCTAATGGGAGAGGAGCAAAACTTTTGGATGGGCCATAGAAATGAGGGAAGCTATTTGAACCATCCACAAGTTCATAGATCAATCCATCCCCAAGCTGCACCCATAGTACATGTAAAAAGAGGAGCTCTTATCAACAGGTGTCGTACACAAAACTTCTAAATTTTAGATACTTCAACTCATCTAATTCATATAATCAATTCAATAAACTGAAAGTTCCAAATATCAAATCTATGTCCTCACATACATCAGTAAATTATCCGTGACTGTGATATCTATTCTCTCTCTCTCTCTCTCTTTATATATATATATATATATATATATATATATATAACAAATTAATTACTCATATGTATTTGATCATATGTTACAATAAACTTTCATAAAATTATGAATTTATGGGTGTTGATACAAAATATATATATATATATAAAACCCAATAACCAACAAACTCATCTTGCCTGCACAAATTTTAAAACAAAAATCCAAACCCAATTTCACATTTTCCCTTACTCGGCTCAGCCCAAATTTTAAAACAAAAATCCAAACTCGATTCCACATTTTCCCTTACCCAGTCCAAAATCCAAATCAAATTCAGTCGCTCTAATTTGGTTAATCCAGCGAACTCGAACAATCATTATGTGTTCATTCTAGTTCAAACACAATTTCGAACGGGGTGTTCGTTTGTGTTCGGTTCGTTTGCAGGCCTAAACTTATGTACCCAAGTTCAAGTGAACATACAACAGATGACCAGACTCACCTTTTTAGCATCAATTTGGAGAAGGTACAAATCCACCTTAGTGTTTAGGAAAAAGTTTTGTAGCGTTGCCTGCACCTGCACATTAATTAAACGAATTTATGACATTAGTTGACAGTATAGCAATTAGCTAAGCCCCCACCTTCCTATTTAATGTTCACAAGTTGAGGATCTAGACAGACTTCCACAATTCAACTTAATTTGTGGAATGAAGAAAGCAATTCTAAGCCTGATTATTTACCACAAAGTAAACAGACTTAAGAGTACTTAATTTTGAGGTTATTGAAAATCGCAACTTGTAATCTTAGTTTGAATAAGTCTAAAGTCCGATTGTTTACCACGAAGTAAATCAATGATTGTTTAACGAGATTAAAGAATAGAGAGGAAGCTGCGCATGGACCTGATCGAGTTTACTCAGGTGGATGCAACCAGTAGACTTGTCGAGGTCTCCACCAAAGATAGATCCATTCTTCTGCAACTCTTCCCACTCTTGAGCTGTACTGATTCTGTACACAAACTCTTCACCTTCTCCTTCTTTTGCGGCCATTCTCTTACCCACAACCGACAACTGCTCTGATAATCGGATTTTTTTTTTTTTTTTTTTTTTAATTGGGTATGCTCAGATCTTTCCAAACTCGAATTCAATCTCCGTCATCGTCAATTAAGATTGGATGGATTCAAATGGGCCAATTATTAAAGAAATGGCGAATATGGCCCAGTTTAATGGAGCCCAACCATCTGACAGCAATGTCATGAATTCCCACGTGTCAAGTGAACATTAAATTCTTTAATTTTCTACTCAGCCAGCGACAGCGTCGTTACTTGCGAGGTTGAGTTGAGTGACTTTACTATAGTAGCCCAACATCTCCATTTTCAAAAGTCAAAAAATATGGCTGCATCTGCAAAACCAGGCACACTCACTTATCAGCATTTTCACTCTCATCGCAAAGAATTTCCTCTATTTGATTGCACTTCTATCCTTCCCAGGTTCAGGGATTCTCGATTTTCTCAGCTCAAGCTCGCAAGAAATGCATCAAATCTTCCTGTTACTAGAGCCCAGAGCTCCCCTGGCCCTGGTACGAAATTTATAAGATGTAAATTCTCTTATTTTGGGTGTCTGTAACACTGAAATGGTTGATGATCCCATGTTTTCTTGCTAGTAGATTATATTCCAGATTCTGAATTTTACAAAGTGGAAGCGGTTGTCAGGTATTTAAAAAGTTTCCGTACACTATTACCCATATAATTTATTATATTCCTTTACTTAAGAGTAGTTTCAGATATCTAATTTCATGTTTTTCCGTGCTGCTGAATTTGGAATGATATAGGCCCTGGCGAGTCCAACAGGTTTCTTCAGTAAGGGCTAATAAACCTTCACCTTTTCTTTGCGCTGAAATTATTAGTATAGTTAATTTATGTATCAAATTTGCTTAGTACCACTACCTCTTCTGGTTTATATTCCTCTCACCTATTGCCTTTTAACTCCTTATATTCTCATCTTCCGTTGTTTCTGGATACATTTTGCAACCCGTAATCAAAGTCAGCATAAAGTTATGGACAAAACTTTTAGTTTTAGATGAACTATAACTTTTAAGACCTCTAACTTCGTGAATGGTTAAGGTCATTGATGATTTGTTTTTGTGAAGTTTCGTTAGATCAGTTCAAGTTCTATAGCAATTATGTGTCAATTATGAGTTCATAGTCCACGAATTCTTAACTAGGCCAAAACCAGCTATTGGTTTCCTTTCACACTTGTCAAAAAGCAGCAAGAAGATGTTTTTAGCTCAAGAAATGAATATTTCATATCTCAAAAATTAATGTGAATCCTATTTTCATAAGCTAATGGACTTCATACTAAAAAGTGTATAACAACTTGGAGCTGGCTTGTAGTGCTCTTGAGCCTGAGTTAATACTTTTCTGTTGATAGATGAACTTCAAACTAGTATACTTATTAATATCCGAGCTAAACAAGGACAAACAGATGCCTCACCTGAAGATATACCCATTTTAGTCGCATTACTTAGCTAAATATTTTTTCAAATTAATCATTGAACTTCTTCAGTGTATCACATCTTCTTAACTCCTATCTCATGTGTTGTTCACATTTTATGGTTTCTATCTTTAAACATGAAGGCTTTGCTGAAAATGGGTATTCGTGGTGTCACGGTTTCTGATGTTCGAGGCTTTGGTGCTCAAGGAGGATCAACAGAGCGACACGGTGGTAAGTTTTAGTCTTCTAGAAGGTTGAAATTTTCATATAGGATGGCTAAAATTTAGCATTAATTAGATTAGTTGGCTATGGTTTATTTCTTGCAGTACCTGTCGTCAATTTCCAGTTGCAGTACCTTTTATTTATTAGAATTAGATTTGATTGTACAACTATAAAATTTCCATGAGCTACCTCTTCTTTTAATTTGATTGTTGGATATAAGCAGTATTTTGTTCTCTATTTTGGTTAGAATTTTTGTTTATTTTTAAATCATTTTATTTATGAGCTAAGTCAAAGTAGAACAGAATAATTTTCTTTTGAATAATTCCTGTTCAGGCTCTGAATTTTCTGGTGACAAGTTTGTTGCTAAAACAAAGGTGGAGATTGTGGTGAGCAAAGACCAGGTATGGATATTATGGATCCTAACTAGTTTGATAAAGTTAAGATTTGTCTCCACCATAAGTACAATTATGTTTGGCAAATGGCTGCAGAAAGAAAATGTTTATGATATTTTATTAATCCTGCCAACAATCCCATCTTAGGTTGAAGCAGTAATAGACAAGATATTGGAGGAGGCAAGAACTGGAGAGATTGGTGATGGCAAGATTTTCTGTAAGGCTTTAAACCTTTTTTATTTTGAAATTTTTTTGAAATACTTCAAGCATAGCTTTGATAGCCTGCCTTTTATAGCGATTTCTACATTTCCTGTGTGGGTACTGCTACTGAAATTCAACAATAGCATTTGTAATTTTACAAAACATGTTACCTAGCTAAGGTAATAAAACAAAAAAGTAATGCCATTAGAAAACATGCTGATGAAGATGATACCAGCTTATGGTGAATGATCCTCCGTGATTTATATATATTTTTTATTTTATTGGCAGTCAAATTCCACAACTGAACTCCTTCGTTGTGCTACCTATAAAGTTTTATGCAATCTGTCCTCCTTGCATCCTTATTTACTTGCACATTTATCTGAAATTAAACCAAAGAAAAATGGAAACCTAATTTATGTATATGTAGTCAGACTTGGGCAATATATTCAGGCCTTTTGATGAAGTTTTATTGGTTGTGCAGTGATACCCGTCTCAGATATCATAAGAGTTCGCACTGGTAACTTAATTGTCTTCGCTGCTTTTTACCTTGTATCTGTATTTTCCATGTATAGAATGATGCAACTTGACATGTATACAAATAATGAGTTCAAAACTTTCAGGTGAGCGTGGAGAAAAGGCCGAGAAGATGACTGGGGGACGATCTGAAATGCCCTATGCTGCATGACCATGTTGAAGTTGCCATATGAGCAAAGAGCAGATTAATAACCCTCTTACTGTATTGTACTTGCTATTCTTATGCCTAATAAAAATAAGAGTGTGATGACTTTTATTTATTTATTTTGTGACAAATATAACAGTTAAAAAGAAAAAAGAAAAAAAATCTATTTGGGAAAAGCCAAAAATTTATGGCCACTTTTGATGAAATGTTTGAAATTTCCTTCCAATGGAGTTGGGGACCCATAGTTGGGATTGTGAGTTTTATATTGATTTGCTGTATGTGCAGTGGATACCCTGGTTGCCTGCCTGTCTTATTTTATGCCAGCATCAACAGCTTGTACCTCTTTACCTAGGCTTGGTTTCTACTTTAGATGTCAGTGTTCATTGGATCATGGAACTTATTTTTATTTTTTAACGTTGTGTACCTCCAGCATTATTATCCTTACCATTCCATCTCATATTAATTAAAATTAAGGAAATTTGTGTCACCTATACAACAACATTCTATTCATTTTCCTTCAAAATCTCTATATTTTTATCATTTATGAGAGGAAAAAAAAAAAAAATGAACTCATTAAAGCACAAAGTATAATACATTAACCAATAAAAATGCTGAATTTTTTTATATAGGAAAATGGAAAATCCTAATCCCCAAGTTAGGCCAATAATAAAACATAATTCTATTCCGAAGCAGTGAAATGAAGATGTTGTTACCCAAACAGGGTTTGCTGGCCAAGCGTCTCCATTCTACAACGTTACATTACTAACCACCATCCAACAGCTTAAATTTAAAAAGAAAAAAGAAAAAGTATAAAACTAACGGAAATTGACGGCGTTAAAACAATTAAACGGCCGTTTTCGTTCTATAGATGCACAATCTTCGTAACCGTGTTAATCTGAACGACAGCTCGTATTTAGAGAGACAGAGAGAGAGGGAGGTAGATCTTCAACAAAACAAANCTGTTCAGGCTCTGAATTTTCTGGTGACAAGTTTGTTGCTAAAACAAAGGTGGAAATTGTGGTGAGCAAAGACCAGGTATGGATATTATGGATCCTAACTAGTTTGATAAAGTTAAGATTTGTCTCCACCATAAGTACAATTATGTTTGGCAAATGGCTGCAGAAAGAAAATGTTTATGATATTTTTGTTGTTAAAGGATTAATCAATGAATCCTGCCAACAATCCCATCTTAGGTTGAAGCAGTAATAGACAAGATATTGGAGGAGGCAAGAACTGGAGAGATTGGTGATGGCAAGATTTTCTGTAAGGCTTTAAACCTTTTTTATTTTGAAATTTTTTTGATATACTTCAAGCATAGCTTTGATAGCCTGCGTTTTATAGCGATTTCTACATTTCCTGTGTGGGTACTGCTACTGAAATTCAACAATAGCATTTGTAATTTTACAAAACATGTTACCTAGCTAAGGTAATAAAACAAAAAAGTAATGCCATTAGAAAACATGCTGATGAAGATGATACCAGCTTATGGTGAATGATCCTCCGTGATTTATATATATTTTTTATTTTATTGGCAGTCAAATTCCACAACTGAACTCCTTCGTTGTGCTACCTATAAAGTTTTATGCAATCTGTCCTCCTTGCATCCTTATTTACCTGCACATTTATCTGAAATTAAACCAAAGAAAAATGGAAACCTAATTTATGTATATGTAGTCAGACTTGGGCAATATATTCAGGCCTTTTGATGAAGTTTTATTGGTTGTGCAGTGATACCCGTCTCAGATATCATAAGAGTTCGCACTGGTAACTTAATTGTCTTCGCTGCTTTTTACCTTGTATCTGTATTTTCCATGTATAGAATGATGCAACTTGACATGTATACAAATAATGAGTTCAAAACTTTCAGGTGAGCGTGGAGAAAAGGCCGAGAAGATGACTGGGGGACGATCTGAAATGCCCTATGCTGCATGACCATGTTCAAGTTGCCATATGAGCAAAGAGCAGATTAATAACCCTCTTATTGTATTGTACTTGTTATTCTTATGCCTAATAAAAATAAGAGTGTGATGACTTTTATTTATTTATTTTGTGACAACTATAACAGTTAAAAAGAAAAAAGAAAAAAAATCTATTTGGGAAAAGCCAAAAATTTATGGCCACTTTTGATGAAATGTTTGAAATTTCCTTCCAATGGAGTTGGGGACCCATAGTTGGGATTGTGAGTTTTATATTGATTTGCTGTATGTGCAGTGGATACCCTGGTTGCCTGCCTGTCTTATTTTATGCCAGCATCAACAGCTTGTACCTCTTTACCTAGGCTTGGTTCCTACTTTAGATGTCAGTGTTCATTGGATCATGGAACTTATTTTTATTTTTTAACGTTGTGTACCTCCAGCATTATTATCCTTACCATTCCATCTCATATTAATTAAAATTAAGGAAATTTGTGTCACCTATACAACAACATTCTATTCATTTTCCTTCAAAATCTCTATATTTTTATCATTTATGAGAGGAAAAAAAAAAAAAATGAACTCATTAAAGCACAAAGTATAATACATTAACCAATAAAAATGCTGAATTTTTTTATATAGGAAAATGGAAAATCCTTATCCCCAAGCTAGGCCAATAATAAAACATATTTCTATTCCGAAGCAGTGAAATGAAGATGTTGTTACCCAAGCAGGGTTTGCTGGCCAAGCGTCTCCATTCTACAACGTTACATTACTAACCACCATCCAACAGCTTAAATTTAAAAAGAAAAAAGAAAAAGTATAAAACTAACGGAAATTGACGGCGTTAAAACAATTAAACGGCCGTTTTCGTTCTATAGATGCACAATCTTCGTAACCGTGTTAATCTGAACGACAGCTCGTATTTAGAGAGACAGAGAGAGAGGGAGGTAGATCTTCAACAAAACAAACCACTCTCTTCCCTCAGGTAAGTGGTTTTGCTCTCTGGCATCACATTCTGACTTTCGAGACTTGTACGACTTCTCTCTCAAAAAATTTCAGATCTCTGTTTTCTTTCATCTTTTTATTATTTGTTGCGTCAATTTCTCTGATCTGCTTTTCTTATTGCTCGATCTACCTTGATAATCGTGTTCCTTATCTGAAAATTTAATATCTGTGATCTCTTTTTTTATGGCCTCTTAAATGTTTGAGTGATCAAAATTACGTGTTGATGCGTTAGATTTGGATGTATTTTGTGCGCTGTGGTGTTTGATCTGTCTCGATTCAGACCTAAGCTGTTATTTTATTGTTTCTTTGGTTTGGATCAGCTCTTTCATAGTTAGATCTATGATTACAATTTGTAAATGCTGCATTTCGTTGATTAAGTTATTTCAATGTCAACTATTTTGATTCTGTTGATTATGGTCCAATGTTTTACTTGAACTGTTCAATTTATGTTTGTCATGTTGTGCACTAATGCTGCTCGGATTTTATTTTCTAATTATAAATTGATCTGGCATTATTGTTGTTTGCAGTTTGTGAAAAATGGGGTTGTCTTTCACGAAGCTTTTCAGCAGGCTCTTTGCTAAGAAAGAGATGCGTATTCTCATGGTAGGTCTCGACGCTGCTGGTAAGACTACCATTCTATACAAGCTCAAGCTAGGAGAGATTGTCACTACTATCCCAACCATCGGTAAGTTTTGACATCACTGTACATGCATTCTGCTTGAATACTTTAAGGGTTTGTATTGCAGTTGTTAATATAGAAACTTGGATTTTTTTTCAATGTTGGACTGGAAAATAATTAGTGTTAGGCTGACATCCACTAAAGACATGCAATTTAGCCTCACCCCCTTGTCATTGTCTCATTAGGTGGACTGCTTTCTTTTTCCCTCCTCTTGTAAATTTCCGTTTTGCCCTCAATTCTGTTGCATTATTTGATCAGGATTTAACGTGGAGACCGTGGAATATAAGAATATCAGCTTTACTGTCTGGGATGTCGGGGGCCAGGACAAGGTATGTAGGTTTAATTTTAACAAACAAAGTGCAAGCAAAATGTTAGTTTTTATGTTATGCAGATAATATAGTCGATCTCGCTTGCCATCAATGCTCTTTTGGTTTATTTCTTGAGATTTTTAGGGAATCTTTTTTCTTTGGTTATTTTTTCTGAGGGGTTGATTTAGGATAATAGAGTATTATCTGACTTATGAGATCTTTAACTTATAGTGCTGTTAGTATATCTGGATCTGCATACTCAAAAAAGGGAGTGCTTGTGATGGCTAAGTGCTGGTTTGATATTCCTCCATAAGTACTGAAGCATAAGAGAAATTTACGGAAGCCTACATATGTACTTCATAGTTCTCTTTGTTTATCTATGACAAGTGTGTGCTTTCTTAGGGTCTTTTGTTGGCACTTAATCTTTCATTTAACTAACCACAAGGTTACTATCCAGGTTTCAATGATAAATCTATAGAGTGATGTTCTCATATCCCTGTATATGGTATCTGGAAAATGCAATGCATATTGATGTATTTCTCGCTACTATTTATGTAGACGACTTTTTCCTAGCGTTAGATACAGTCTCCTGAACAATGAGCTCTTCAATCTAGGTTACTCGACTGAAGTTTTTTTGATTTCTCTGGTCTTCATATTGTTGTTAAGATCAAATGAAGCCTCTTTGGCGCACTTTCTGTTGTTTTAAATCATATTATAGCTTTTTTGGAATGAATTAAAAGACTTTATTCCTTGGCCTAGAGGCAATAGAATTTCCCATTGGATGGTGGGGTTTGGATTTGATTTTCAGTAATAGCAAAAGGGGGATTGGAGCATGTGATCTTGATTTCTCTATTTTTTTCCTAGCTAACCACCTATAGTTTTGGTTTTTCAGATCCGACCTTTGTGGAGACATTATTTCCAAAACACACAAGGACTTATCTTTGTGGTTGATAGCAATGACCGAGATCGTGTGGTTGAAGCCAGGGATGAGTTGCACAGAATGTTGAATGAGGTATTGTAACAAGTTTCAGAATTTCTTATCATAAGCACAGATGAGTGCTATAAGTGGAACAAGAAGACGTTGCTTTTGGGGAGTTTTGATGTGGTACTTTAGGGTGTTTTCTGCTTTTAATTTTACTATTTTTTGCATTGACAGGATGAGTTGAGGGATGCTGTGTTGCTAGTGTTTGCAAACAAGCAAGATCTTCCAAATGCAATGAATGCTGCTGAGATAACTGATAAGCTTGGCCTTCACTCCCTTCGTCAGCGCCACTGGTAAGATATATTGTTCCCCCTTCCTTTCCCCTCCTTTTTCTTCATTTCTTCTTTTCGCTGTAAGCATAATGATTTACTCTATATTGCAGGTATATCCAGAGCACATGTGCCACTTCTGGTGAAGGGTTGTACGAGGGACTTGATTGGCTTTCAAACAACATTGCAAACAAGGTATACTTTTGTGGATGATATATTGCAGATTTGAGCAATTGTACTGTAGATCTTTTTTGGTGTTATTTATGTAAATATTTTACTGTGCACTTGCAGGCGTAGAGGGCTAAATTCTGAAGTTTGGGTTGCAACAAATGTTGGAATAGAGAGTTAACATTGTTCCTTAATGTTTTGGGTTTTGTTGTACCCCGTTAAAAGTGTTGTTACCTTTTTTATCTTGTTTTTGTCGTATTGCTTGAACATTAAACATTGCCATTTGTTACATGTAGCTTCGGAATAATTTTTAAATTTAAATTTTCCTCTGCGTATCGTCTCGATAGCACCTCAGTCTTTGTCAGATGGTTCATTTAATTTCTGAATTTTTGCATTATTGCCAAATCCATAGCACCCTAGTGGCGGGTTGAAGATTTAAAGTTCGCTGTTATTCTACTCGGTGCGAAAAAAACTTGCTTAGGCAACTATAATAGCTTCAAAATTAGAACAATACGGAAAAGCTATTATCTTTTTTAACAAGTGGATGCAAGAGAACCCATCTTATTAAAATTCCAGTACAATATATTGACAAAATTGTTTTTGGTTATTTCCACATTAGAAAAAATTTGACGGTATGGACTTGCATACAAACTCAATCAAACCACTTTCCAAGGATCTGTAATTTCCAGAACAAGTATAGCGTGTTGAGATCCAACTGAACCTATTGTAATTCCAGAGAAAGCAAACAAATGGGCATCATGAAAAGCACAAGTACAGGAGCATCAGCAATCCTACAACAATGGATTAGTCCTCCGAATAAGCAAAATTGATTGGTTCAAAAGTGGAATGGAGTTTCAATCTCGGACAAGAGAAACACCGATTGGAATATTTCAACCCAAGATAAGGTGGACATAGAGAGGTGAATTGGTGGTCCCTCGGACTGCCCGGATTCCGGTTCTTCCACGGAATTGTGGTACGAGTTGCAATGAAAATAGCCCAGTTTATGAAACTCTGGCTTTTTCGTCTCATAAAGTCAAATGGCTTCCTCCTTTTCTTTCAAGCAAACACCTCCCCTTAGGGGCCAACCTGCGCCTATTCTACAAAGGACAATACACTGCCAGAGGCCTGATTCTTCAATTTTGGTTCATTCTATGACACTTTAGAAGGACACGTTTGGCATCTCAGTACTATCAGTCAGTTCTTTAGAACCTACGAAATGGGAAGTTCAATCACAACCATGCCATTTGCAAATAACATAGAAGAGAGTCTAAATTGACTTCTCAGCCAGGCTTTCTTCACTTTCACAAACTTGGACAGGAGGCCCGAAAATGGCCATTTTCTGCATCAAGTTTTGAAGGGCTTCTTTCTTGTTTGCTAATTCCATAAGAACCTTGATCCTCCGAAAAGAAATGTTGCTTGGCTTATGCCCTTTCTCTATCATCTCCAAGAAACACTTCTCTGCTTCCACCAACTTTCCCATATCACAAAGCAAATCAAACAACACATCAGATACCAAAACATAAGACCCAAAACCCTTCTCCACCATGTCATTCCACAACCGCAATGCCATCTCCATCTTTTCCTGCCTCCTAAATAACCGAATTAGAAACATACAAGACTGTGTATTTGGGAGGCACCCACTATCCATCATTCTCTGATATAAATTCCAGGCACTTTTCAAATCATTTGACCAGTAAAAAACCCTAAAGAAGAGATTGTAAGTAGTTGCATTCGGGTCTAATCCCTTGCGCACCATCTCATCCATCAACTCAAATGCTTCACCAAGCCTCTTTGCAATACAATAATTCCTAATTGCAGAATTGTAGGCTGCAGCATCCGGGTAACATCCATACTCCTTCATTTCCTTCAAAATATCTCTAGCTTTATCAGGCTGACCTACCAACCCCAAACCCCCAATTATACTTGTATATGTGATCACATCAGGCGATATATCCTCATCTCTCATTCTCTCAAACACCTTATGTGCCTTCTCTACTTGTCTACCCTTACAATACACATCAATCAAACAATTGTAAGAAACAATATCAGGTTTTACTCCCATTTCTCTCATCTCCTGAAAGAACCCCTCAGCCTCCTCCACCGATTTCCAACCAGACAGAAGTATATTAAAAGTCTGCAAATTAGGCTTAAAATCATGCTTTAAACTATGATACACATTTCTAGCATCTGTCATACTCTTCTCCTGACACAAAGTCCTCAACAAAGCATTAAAACAAGTAATATCAAATACTGGAACCAGTTTCTTAAACCTTCTGAAAGACTCTACAGTCTGCCTAACAGAACAAACCTTAGCAACTCTAGCTAAAACCACTTGCATAGTTCGTGGCGATATTAAAGATTGATCTTTTCTCTTGGTATCAACCAGAAGGTCCCATATTAGATCAAATCTACGGCCTCTGCCTAATATATAAAGCATTGTATCTAAAGAAAAGGAAGAGTGATAAAACCCTCTTCTACTGGAAACATATTTATAGAACTCGAGAGCTTGTAGAGGATTTCCGTGGCTAAACCTGACTCTCTTTAAAACTTTATCAATCAAATCATTAGAGAAAAGAACCCGACTTGATTTCAACGATAGTTGGAGGTTTTTGGAAGAGGTAGAGCTAGTGATTATCCCAAAAACAATTTCAACGTCGTCCTTCGGAGGAGAGTTATCAGAGCAGAACAATGCAGCAACCACAAACGAATTTGCATTATCAGATACAAATGATAATTTAGGAGCGCACCTTAACCTTCGTGACAGTGAGGGTGTGAAGGTCTTAACAATCATCTTTCCTTTATTTCACAAACCCCAAACGAATTTTCCATTTTATACTAGATAGGTTTGCCAATTGCCATCTCTTTAAACGACATCGTTTCAGATTGAACTATTTATCTGGCTCCAATATTAGGCCGAATAACATGCACCCACCCATAGTTTATTGGAAATACCATTTGGTACCAAAAAGTTTGGATATGACAAGCACGTACTTTCTATTAATATTTGTTCGTTAAATTAAACTGTAAAAGGGTAAGATAGTAAATTCAAAAACAAATAAAGGGTGATTATGTCATTTCATCCCTTTCTACTACAGGCTTTTTTTCTTTTTTCCTTTACCTTTTCAGTGATCTCACCTCCCATCATCATCCTCCTCCATCCCCAGCCAGAATTGACCCATTTTTTGCCGGACTTTCCTCTTTCACGTGACACATCTTCACCCTAGCGACAGCCGGATCAAGCCAGAACTAGCCGGATTTCGGCGTCGATGGATACTGCCCTCACTCCCATTTGAATCCCCACATCACCTTCTCCAAAACCCATGTCCCTCTCACCTCGATTTCCTCGGCCATTTCCCTGCTTGTGTGATTGTGTTTGTTATTGTTGTTGGGTTTGTTCATGGCAAGAGTTCAAATTTAGTGCCAATTTTCACCCTTCGGTGCAAATGGGTTTTTTGAAGCTGCAGCTGTAGTTGATTGGTCTTATACTGGTTTTGACATGGTGGCAACTATGGTTGAAGGGACTAAGCGTCCTGCAAGGGATATACCGATTGGTTTGGTTGGTTCAATGTCTATGATTACTGTGATTTACTGTTTGATGGCTTTGGCATTGACCATGGTGGTAAAGTATACCCAAATTGATATAAATGCTGCATACTCAGTTGCTTTTGAACAAATTGGCATGAAATGGGCTAAATATTTGGTGAGTGTTTCCCCGGCCATTTCCCCGCAGCCGACCAAAAATTTTCAGGTTTTGAAAACGCCCAGCCTTGTTTGCCATTTTTTTTTCCAGCTGAATATGAAATTACTACACTACCCTTCACCTGACGCGATTCATTAACAGAACCAAACAAAAAGTAGGTGTTTGTCATTTTTTAACTTTTTGGGTATTAAACTTTCTTTCCGGCAAACTATGGGTGGGTGCATGTTGTTTAGCCCCAATATTATCATAAATATAGGACCACCACCACAAATGTTTGTAAATTCGTTAATTATATGATTTTTCAAGTTGAATTGTTTCCTTCATAAGAAATAAATTTTAAATCCACCATTTATTCTATTATATTTTATCTTAAACCTAAGCTTTTATTTATTTATTTATTTAAAACCTCATTATTAAAAGAGTTAATAACAATAATCTCTGTAATGTATGATATAATAATAAAATCCTCTTGAGATTTCATAAGTAACAAAATTTCCTTTCTGTTAATAAATTGTTAGTGAACATGTAAAATTTATACGTTATGAGTTAGTAAAATTATCAAATTATTTTCTAACGTTTATTTTAACACTTAAAACTTAACAGCAATGAAAATGCCACAACCTTGTTTCGCAACATCATGACAAGATAACCACCCACTTGTGGCCGGATGGATTGAGGGAGTGTAGAGTTGAGAGACCAGTGGGTTTTGAGTTTGAGTTGTATTAAGTAGAGGGCCAACCAATTACTTTACTTTAAAAAAANCTTGTGTGATTGTGTTTGTTATTGTTGTTGGGTTTGTTCATGGCAAGAGTTCAAATTTAGTGCCAATTTTCACCCTTCGGTGCAAATGGGTTTTTTGAAGCTGCAACTGTAGTTTATTGGTCTTATACTGGTTTTGACATGGTGGCAACTATGGCTGAAGAGACTAAGCGTCCTGCAAGGGATATACCGATTGGTTTGGTTGGTTCAATGTCTATGATTACTGTGATTTATTGTTTGATGGCTTTGGCATTGACCATGGTGGTAAAGTATACCCAAATTGATATAAATGCTGCATACTTAGTTGCTTTTGAACAAATTGGCATGAAATGGGCTAAGTATTTGGTGAGTGTTTCCCCGACCATTTCCCTGTAGCCGACCGAAAATTTTCTGGTTTTGAAAATGTCCAGCCTTGTTTGCTTTTTTTTTTTTCAGCTGAATATGAAATTACCACATTACCCTTCAGCTGACGAAAATCATTAACAAAACCTAACGAAAAGTGAGTGTTCATCATTCCCAAACTTTATGGGTATTAAATTGTATTTGCGGCAAACTATGGGGGAGTGCATGTCGTTCAGCCCCAATATTATCATAAATATAGGACCACCACCACAAATGTATGTAAATTCGTTAATTATATGATTTTTCAAGTTGAATTGTTTCCTTCCTAAGAAATAAATTTTAAATCCACCTTTTATTCTATTATATTTTATCTTAAACCTAGGCTTTTTATTTATTTAAAACCTCATTATTAAAAGAGTTAATAACAATAATCTGTGTAAGGTATGATATAATAATAAAATCCTCTTGAGATTTCATAAATAACAAAATTTCCTTGCTGTTAAAAAATTATTAGTGAACAGTTAAAATTTATACGGTTATGAGTTAGTAAAATTACCAAATTATTTTCTAACGTTTATTTTAACACTTAAAATTTAACAGCAATGAAAATGTCACGACCTTGTTTCGCAATATTGTGACAAGATAACGACCCATTTGTGGTCGGATGGATTGAGAGGGTGTAGAGTTGAAAGACTAGTGAGTCTTGAGTTTGAGTTGTATCAATTAAGCGGCCAACCAATTACCTTACTTTTAAAAAAAAAAAAAACATCATGACAAGAACAGTAATAGTAAAGAATGTATTATTTCCAAAACCTCAAAGAGATTTTTGTTATTTTATCATACTCGGGGGATTAATGTTATTAACTCTTATTAAAATTAAATCTTATATCCTTTTTGTTACAAGATTGCCGATCAATTTTCAAGTTCCATTCTTCTCTTTTATTTTATTTTCTTTTCTGTTTATTATGTTAAATTGATATCATTCTTGACTTCTTGTGTTTCTTTGTACCTAATTTCAATCTTGAATTTATTTTACAATAATATATGAGAATATAGATATAAGAAATAAATTAAAATAATTAATTAATAATTAACAATTATTAAATATACAAGTCACTCAAACAAAGAAAACTCGATCCACAGTAGTACCATATCAATAGTATAGAAATAGGAAATATGAGAATTCAGTTTAATAACTAACAATAACATAAATTCAAAGATAAAAAGTTGGATAAATTTATTGATTGGTAGTATGGACATGATAACATTATGGTATTTAAGAAACATGGATACCGATTCTATATATATATAAACTTGTGTAGTATAAAACTAGAATCCACATTTAATTCCCGAGAAGAATATTAATAATGGCAGAAATCAGTCCTGATAAACTAATCACTTTAAGATTATCAGCGGCTATGGGTGATTCGCCAATTGGGTCGCTACTCCGATAAACATTTTGACATTCAATAACACGATTGGTTGCATTAGCAACGGCATCCATGCTGTCCCAGTAAGAGTTTTTATCAACAAGGAAGTAAGCCCCTCTAAACTCTCTGAATGCACGGCGATAATCATATTGGCAAACATTTAGCCTATGCTTACTGATTCGATCTTTTAATGTTTGACGAATATCTGGAAATCGATCCATAGTGTCTTGTATATTATTGTTGGTTATTGAAATAGATAGTAGAGCCATACCATGGGCGTCAGCAACTGCATTACTACGTACATCTGATTCAAATGTGTTTAAGCAAAATTGAACGTCTTTAGTTTGCTGGCAAATCTTGGTAACTACTTCATTCCCATTACAAAGATTAACGAACAGAATGAGGGAGACAACAAACACAATTAAAAACTCGTATGTACCCATTCCCGTTCCCATTCCCATTGTGTGAATGTGTGCTAACTAATTAGGTATATATATATACCTATAACAACACTAAAAACAAAGGGTGATAGAAGAATATGTACCACTTAAAATTAACCAATTAAGAATATAACTAATTAGGTATATATTTAACTTGTACAAAATAAGTCAATTTATACTAAAAAGAATACAACATGTAAGGAAAGAAAATAATGCTATGATCTGGGTGATCCCAGTAATTAAGGAAAAGAATGATATTTGTCCTATAATAGAACCAAATCATATCTTGTAATGAAAGCTAATATCCTCAAATATCTTAACATATCAACATAATACACAGTTGTGAGGTTTCTTTTTATAAAACATCCACGCAAAATTGAGACTAGAGTCAATGTCCATTAATGCTTGATTTGCTTTACAAGGATTAAATAAGACAAAGAGGGAGAGAGAGTGAAAATATATGTGGTAATTAAGCTTATGTTTGAATCTATACCAATACAATGTCTTAAAGCGTTTATATACACAGTAAAAGTGACTGCTTTTAGAAAAGAAATTTTCTTTAGTAAAATTGACACATGTTTCCCTTTATTCTCATCAGTTATATCGACCCCAAAAATAAAGGCAATTATATTCTTAAGGAAGAAAAACTTTAAAAAAGAAAAAAATTAATAATACTAAAAAATTATTCCTAAATGAAATATTGACTGCCTTTTATCAAACTAATCAAATAAATGAATCTATGTAAAAGTTTGATCTCTTGTCAGATGACGTATTCTAATCGTGAATCATGTGATTAGCGTTTTTATGATTGATTGAAGATTGAAAAAGCCAAAGTTAAGCGCATATGAGCATTAAATAAAATTTATGTGACCATAGACGCCACAAGGACGTGCCGACCTCCCCCGCATTACGTCGGCCAGTTGACAGCAATCTATTCTGAATTAAAATACAATACTTTTATAGATGATAATTTCACGCACACACAAATTAAGACAAGTAATTGAGAAATACGTATATTCATTTCACCCTTGGAGAAAATATTACATTTAACCACATACATATCATCAACAATACCCATACAGTAAGAGTAGCGCCAAGAGAAGAAAAGACAAAAGCAAAAACGAAAGCTTAAAACCTCCTTCCCCACAAATGACCTATTTTCATGTACCTTAAGACTTTTTAAATGTATTCTGCATCTCTTAGTCTTCTACTTGAAAAGCAACAGTGCATCAAGTCTTAAGCAGCCGATGGGGCGGCCACAAACTGAACTGCGCCAGCATTTGAGAGAGCATCTATGAATGGTTGCAAGTTGACAGGTTCAGTCTCACCATCAACACCCGCGATTGGCTTTTTGTAATCCAATGATTCATCATTGTAAATGTCCCACCATTTCTGCACTAGCATTTTAATATCCTCTCTTTGCATATTCTCTTCCTTTCCTGTGTACCTCCATGGTTTTGATCCCTGTTGATTGATCATAAAATTCCCACAATTTCAGTACCCAAAAGATCAACAAAATTAACAATAAATAGAAATGAATCACTACATACCGCTGCACAGTAGTGAACAACTTTCACTTTGTCGAGCTCCACATTCTCTGGGTGACGCCACAACATGGCAAGAACAAGATTGTAAACCAGAGGAATTGGCTTGTAGATGTTTTTGAAATACATGTTCAAGAAGTCCTGCATAAATAAACAAAAACATTGTTAAAACCCACAACTTTGAATTTGATTTGCTTCTAATAAAGGGTAACAGCCATCGAGATATATACCTGCTCTGCAAAAGGGGTAGGAGGAGTAACTCTGAGAGTTTCCAACAAATCATCATAAGTAGAGAGGCTGGGCTCAAAAACGAACATGCCAGCATTGAAGTAGAGTGCCGGGGGTTCGCCCATTTCAGCTGGCCACTTGACCTTGTCAGGGCGTTGTTGGCAATACCCGATCTTGTACTGTGGGGTATGGCTCCAAGTTTTCTCACAGAAACAATCCATCACTGCGTAGAAATGCCCATCAGGCAAATCAAATAGGTGATCAATGTTGTCATATACCTGGATGTCCCCGTCCAAATATATCATCTTACTGTATTCCACAAACTACATGCAAAATCAAGGCAAAACAAACATTAATTAATTGAAAACAAATCATAATACAAAGAGTCAGAATTACATTGTATAATGACGAAAATGCCCCGAATATAGACAAAATCAACTCCACATAAACTATAGTTTTGTAGACCCTTCTGGAAACATGGAGACTGACAAAATCAAAAGTAACAGTAAAAAAGGAGACATCACACATGCAATGTTGGCAACATGAGAACAAACAAAACAAACGTAATGTACCTCCCAGATGCGTAGTTTTGAGTAGTTGATAACGTAATAGGCCATGGCAAACTGTGTCTGGTTCTCAGGTGGATAAACGGGTTCAATCTCCCTTACAATACAACCCTGAGATTCCAAAATCTTACGATGCTCCTCTGGTACATCGGGTAAAACAGCCACCACCAATGGGTATGCAGTTTTAACCTTTCTTAAACCTTTGGCCAACCCAACAACACCTTTTACATAGTCCCCATCACCAGCCAAGAAGGTAACGTATGCTCTGCTCGGTAAGGTCGCGGGTTTAGTAACATATCCGGTTGGTTTCACTGAAGCTTGAACAAGTTCGGGGGCCATATTGCGAGAGCTCACTAGAGAGACTGAGAGAGGGAGAGAGCGAGAAGGCGGGAGAGGTTGAGATCTTGCGGGGACTTTGGCTTCTGAGTTGTTAATGCAGTGGTGGTAGTTTACCGCGGTGTTGGGGCGTTTAAATAGGCAGTAAGTGGAACCTAAATGGGACCGAAATTTCAGAAAATTATGTTATTCCCTGGGATATTGGAGCGTAGCCCTACACGTGTCCATTTGTAATGATCCAACGGTGGTACTGAGGATCCGTCGAAGGTTCCCGAATTGGGCCTAGAAAAATAGAGTTGCTGTGGAAGAGGCTAGAAGGGGCGTCATATATGTTTTATTAAATTAAGATGTACTTCACCTGTGACGTGTTAGGATATATTTTGACTTGACGACTTTTTAAAGATATCGTGAATTAATTAACTGAATTTTTTTATGTACTTATTTTTTATTTATCACCAATTCTTTGAATTAATGTTAAGCTTGTAACCGGCAAAAATATTAATTAATAAAGAATAGCGGAATAAAGGAAGCCACTACATTTAAAACCCTGTGCATATATTAGATTGGTGGGGCAAGTATCTTACAATGATCAACAAGATTCTGGAAGTCCTCATTTGATCAAATCTCAGATTAATCTTGAATGCATAATATAGAAGATTCGTTTATGTTCTTAATTATTTTATTTTTTTTTTTTTCTCTTTTCTTGGTGGCTATTGTTTGATGTCCACAAGTTGCGTCTTTAATTTTTTTATCTCTCACTCTCAACACGCTATTTTCCAAAGTTATGTGGAATAAAAGCGTGCCGCTTTGATAACTATGTCACTTTCTATTCTGTATGACACTAATTCGTTTCAGGAACAGGAGAAAGGATCGGGTCTTTCAGCTAAAGATCAATCTAGAAAGCAGAGTCCAAGGTATTTATTTATCGGGGAAGTCAATTAAATTGNGGCCATTTCTTTGGCCGTCGCTGACGGCCAGATCTGGCCTTTTCCGGCCAGATCCGTGGTGGATCTGGCCGGAAAAGGCCACAGCGGTGAACTTCCGGCCATTTCTGGTCGGAAGTTTGGCCGTTGTACAGATTCCGGCTATCACCGACGGTGGTTGCCGGAATCTGACAAGTTGGGTTAATGGGGGTGTTTTTGTTAATTTTTAAACTTTTTTTTCAGGGGGTATTTAGTGAAATTAATAACCTTATGGGGTTAAAATGTAATTAAAAAAAATAGGGTAATATTTTGAGAATATTGTACCAAACGCTATTTGAAAAATAGGATCCAGAATAGGGATAAAAATATTAAACCAAACGCATACTATGTCACTTTCTATTCTGTATGACACTAATTCATTTCAGGAACAGGAGAAAGGATCGGGTCTTTCAGCTAAAGATCAATCTAGAAAGCAGAGTCCAAGGTATTTATTTATCGGGGAAGTCAATTAAATTAATGTGTTAAGTTAATATAACTAATTGAATGGAAAACTAGTATCATAAATCCATATATGAAGGAAAATTACGATTTGGTTAAGCGTTTAGACACAAGAATGATGCCTAAACGCCAATACGTGAATAAATGATTATTAATGGACAAATGAAGAAACGGCCAAACGTATGAAATGGGTGCATCCAAACAGAAAGAGACGATTCCAAATTCCAGCACAGTGCATATTTTACTTCAAAAGTAAAAGCCCAGTCCCACCATTGAAGTGCGAGATTCTAAATGGCTCCACTCCATCCGTTTAGTGGTTCAGATTCTCACGTACCTGTTGCCTTGCCATTTCGTGTGTTTCAACATCTGCTTTTCACTATTACGTGCTCCACTCCTATTATCTTATTTTTCTTTTTCTCCACTCAAAACAAAAAAAGAATATATCTTTAAGATCATGTTTTTACATGATTAAATTATTTAAATAATACATTTATTGAATCCATTTAATGTTTTTGGGTTAAAGGGAATGAAAACAGAACGATTTCAATGTGTAATTGTTAAGTGCAAAAAACATAAAAGTTGGATTGAAGATGGGTCCGGATGATTGGTGAAGGTGAAAGGTAAACAAGTTGTGTGGAACTGAGGTGGTCCATTAACTATGGAGATACACCTGTTATGGTTTTCAAATGGGCCTTACACGTAGTTATACTTACTTGCATGATTGACATCTGGTACCACAACCTGCACCATGATTGATTTTTTTGTAACTATTTGTTTTACGATGTTAACATCCAATCATTTACCACCACATCATATTATTAGCTCTGGACATTCCTAAACTACTTGGGCTTTTCAACCCAGACCATACAGGCTTTTGTCTAAATATCTAGAATGAAGCCCATTTTAATTCTTTTGTGATTAAAGAGTAAATACTATGACAGTGGAGGTCGCCGTGGGAAGTAGAGAATAAGAATACTATATAGACTTCCAAGAATATGGATGTCAGACAGATGGTGTCATCATCCAATCTGATTAGCAATTTGTTTTATGTTGTTATACCTAGTGTTTATTGATTCATAAATTAACTAGACATGGGCCGTGTGTTGCGCCGGTATGTTTATTTAATATTTTTGAAATATATTGTAAATTAATTTATTCTAACAAAATAAACTAATTAGATTAAGACACAATAAGTGTTAAATTATACAAATTTTAAAGTAATTATAAATTGTATATATATACAAAGTTGTGTTAAGATAAAATTAATAATTATACTTGTATAATTATTAATATCAATTATAAGTAGATGTTATTAAATCATTCATCTAACTTGAGAAAATCACTTGAATATTATATGGTCTAATTATATTTTCAGGATCATCGTCTTGTACAATTGATATTATTTTTGCAGACATGTCTTTAATATTCAATGTCGGTATTTTGTAGTGAATCGTGTATAATATTTAATATCACATGAATATTATCAAGATTCATTATTTAAACTCAAAATTTATATTAATATTCCGCAATTTTTGTAACTTATATTCATTTTCAAGTTGCATTGCGTAGGTATGTTTATTATATATATTTTTTTACATTATTATTGGTTTTTTTGTGTTTTAAATATATATTTTCTATATTAAAGTTCATTTCATATTGAATTGATAATTAAAAAATCAATAAATAAAATATCCACAAATTGAACTCAAAGTTTATATCATCATGGTTTTTCTCAAATATGTTACCATTTGACATTTGCTACCAAAGTTTAAAACTTTGTCAAGAAAAGCAAAAAAATTTGTAGGATAACCCATTAGGTATTATTGATAAGTTTATAAATTAATCAAAGAAAAAGAAATCTTGTTGAAAAATGTGAACTTTTAAGTAAGAGACTTGCAGAACCAAAGGAAAAAACTGATTTTGATTGTTGAGAAGAGAAAATGAATTATTTTTATTATTATTATTTTAGAAATTAAAAAAAATTAAGAATGTTGAGAAGAGAACTCACATAGCAAGCAACAACAATTCCAATAGTATAATCTGAAGGCAATTTAATTGAAGTATTGAAGAAGCCACGAAGATAAAGGTCTTGTGACACAAATCCATTTGTTGCAATTAAAATTGACCACCGCCTATAGCAAAAAAAGCATTTGACGATAGCATCTTAAAGAAAGACAATAATTATAAAACCCATAAATCAAACAACAAAATTAATCCAAAAATCAACAAAAAGAGATAGAACAAATACAATTAAAACTACATATCAATATTTGTTTTCCTTTGTCATCACTAAAATTGAATTTGTTTTATGTATGTGATGATAAAATATCCTAATTCATCATATAATATATCAAATTAAATCCCTATCTTTCTAGTTTCTAAATATTTAAACCGCTCATCAATTAAATTTTTATTAAGCAAGTTATGGCTAATTTACTATTGACTATTTAGTTAAAATCAAGAAACAGGGAAAACCAAAATGTGTGTGATAATAAAATGAATGGTTCGGCAGTGGAGCTAAATTTATCCAAATTATGCGTATAATATATCAAATTCTGTATAGTTTCTAAATATTTAAACCTCTCATCAATTGGATTTTTATTGAGAAAGTTATGGTCAATTTACTACTAACTGTTCAGTGGAAACCGAAATGTGTGTGATGATAAAAGGAATTGTTTGACAGTGGGGCTACAATTATCCAAATTAAGCATATAATATATCAAATTAAAGTCTTGTCTGTCTAGTTTTCAAATATTCAAACCTCTCATCAATTGGAGTTTTATTGAGCAAGTTATTGTCAATTTACTACTAATTTGTCAGTAGAAACCTAAATGTATATGATGACAAAATGAATAGTTTACTAAAGCTTAGCATCAAACATCAGTTGATATTTGTTAAATAAATGAAAATAGTTATATTCAGCAACAAACTCTTTTCATGATATATGTATGTAACATAAAAGATATCATCAAAAAGAGATAGAACAATTACAATTAAAACTGCATAACAATATTTGTTTTCCTTTAAGGATAATAATAATGGTTCGACATATTATAAATGGTTTACTAAAGCTACATGGTTTGGCAACAAACATCATATAATGTTTGTGATACAAATAAAATTTGTTATATTCAACAACAACCTGTATTCGATATACGTATGTACCATAAAAAAATATCAACAAAAAGTGATAAAACAAATACAATTATTTGTTTTCCTTTGTCATCACTAAAATTCAATTGGTTTTATGTGTGTGATGATAAAATGAATGGTTTGACTGCAGGTTTATAGTTATCCAAATTCATCATATAATATATCAAATTAAATCTCTATCTTTCTAGTTTCCAAAGATTTAAACCCCTCATCAATTGGATTTTTATTGAGTAAGTTCTGACCAATTTACTACTGATTGTTTAGTGGAAATCGAGAAACAGGGGAAATCGAAATGTGTGTGATGATAAAAGGAATGGTTCGAAAGTAGGGCTACAATTATCCAAATTAAGTGTCTAGTATATCAAATTAAATTCCTATCTGTCTTGTTTCTAAAGATTCAAACCTCTCATCAATTGGAGTTTTATTGAGCAACTTATGGTCAACTTATTACTAATTGTTTAGTGGAAACCGAAATGTGTGATGATAAAAGGAATGGTTCGGC